ACCTTCTGATGGCCTCCAGGCTCATGTAATCCCTCCATGCCAGCTTGATCTAACTATAAAACCTCTCAGTCTTCGGGGAGCCACTTCTGCATGGGCCCAGTTGAGGTGACCCCTGCAAATCTGCAGTTACCTCCAGGCTGTCCTACCTGCTCTTGTTTCTCAGCCCTTTAGACACTGGGGACCACTCTCCTTTCCTTCCACAAGTTCCCACTTTCCTTTGCTTCAGGCAGCACATTTGTGTGGTCTTTTAAAGTCTGTTCCTGGTGACTGAAGGGATGGCTCAGTGGTTAAGAGTGTGTCCTGTAGCGGGGCGGTGGTGGTGCATGCCTTTAATCCCAGCACTCGGGAGGCAGACAGATCTTTGTGAGTTGGAGGCCAGCCTGGTCTACAGAGCGAGATCCAGGAAAGGCGCAAAGCTACACAAAGAAACCCTGTCTGGAAAAACCAAACCAAACCATAACAAAACAAAACCTGTGTCCTGTGGGGCTGGAGAGATATTCCCACTCCTAAGAGCACTGGCTGCTTTTTCAGAGGACCCGGGCTCAGTTCCCAGCACCCACATAGGGGCCCACAACCATCTGTAACTTCAGTTTTAGGGGATCCAATGCCCTCTGGCTTCTATGGGCACTGCAAATGCATGGTGCCCAGACATGTATACAGGCAAAACACCCATAAGCATTAACCAAACAAACAAGCCAAACAAAAAATCCCACTGAACTATGGGGGCTAGAGAGATGGATCCAAATTTAAGAGTACACACTACTCTTCAAGCAGACCCGAGTTCAAGTCCCAGCAGCCACAGGACAGCTCACAAACACCTGTAATTCCAGTTCTGGAGGATCCACTCCTTTGACCCCTAGGGCACCTGCAGTTCCTTCACACACATGCAACTACACAAACAAACTAAACTAACAGTTGGGCAGAGCGGTGCACATTTGAAATCCCAGCACTTAGGAGGCACTATCAGGAGGTTAGGAGTTCGAGGTCATCCTTTGCCACATCAAAAGGTGAAGGTCGCCATGAGACCCTGTAGCAGAACCAAAAGCACCTTGTTTAAGTGGCTCTGAAAGACCCTAACCTTTCAGGCTTAGACCCCCAAGCCCCAGGAAATGAGAAACTAAAAGTCTAGTTCCAAGGACAAGCTGACTCAATCATTATTCAACCACCCCTGTAACAATGTAGCAATGTAAAAAGATCTCTGTTAAGAGATGAGCTCAACTGTGACTGGGATAGTTGCAGGTATTCCAGGAAAGACCACTGTGACCTTTGTGTAAACTCCACTCCCGCCCTGATACCCCCCTTGAGGTTTCAGGAAGAATGTACATGGGACGGGGACTGTACCCACTCTGTGATCAGACCATGATCTTGTGAAACGAAATTGTATGGGAATTGTAATCTTGTGGGTTTTGTGAGTTTTTCCTTTAAAAGCCCCCATGTGGCTGCAATAGGATGCAACTCTTGCCCTCAGGACATGAGTAGCCCGTCTGTATGGTCGCTTTAGTAAAAACCTCGTGCTGCTGCATCAACTGGACTGGAGTCTGGGTTCTTGGGGTGCCCACTTGAGACCCTAAACTTTGGGGTCTAACAGCTCCACACTGATGTCACAGGAGGGAGGTTTCCTGAGGGCCGGCAGGAGTTAACATCAGATGGTCAGAGGTGGAGGGGATGTGGAGCAGGAGATAAGAGCTGGAGGAAGACTGAGATCAGCAGTAGGGTTGGGAGAGGCAGGGCCCTGGGAGGGATGCCAAGGGGGAGGACAGTTTTGACGGTCACCCTGAGAACATTTCCTCCCACATAAACACTGCGTCAGAGGTTTGGAAACCATTTCCCTGAATTCAGGCTGCCAGAATTGCACTTCTGTCTTCTCCATCTTCAGATTTTCAACTTCGGATGTCTGCTCCTTCCAGGGAAGAGTGGAAGGTAAAAAGGAAAGTGAGAAGAGGAAGTGCAAAAGGAACTCATTTCCTGTTTTGTCCCCTAAGGAAGAGAGGTGGACAGGCCTTTCACAGCTTTCTTACCATTTTCCGTAGAAATGTTGTTGCCGCTTCATTTTGAAACAGGATCTCACCTTCTAGCTCAGGCTGGCCTAGAATTTGTAGCTTTCCTCTTCCCTCAGCTCCTCGGGTTCTGGGATTAGACGTATGAGCCATCGTGCCCCCACTTTTTAGAGTTAGTTTATACAAAGATAAACATGATGTGAAGATGAATGTCCAAGCTGGGTTTAGTGGCACAAACTTGTAATTCAACTCCTTGGGTGGCTGAGGCAGAAGGGTCTTAAGTTCAAGACCAGTCTGGTAACTTAGTGAGAACCTAACTTAAACTTTTTTTTTTTTTTTAAAGATTTATTTATTTATTATGTATACATTGTTCTGTCTATACATATCCCCACAAGCCAGAAGAGGGCACCAGATCCCATTACAGATGGTTGTGAGCCACCATGTGGTTGCTGGGAATTGAACGCAGGACCTTTGGAAGAGCAAACAGTGCTCTTAACCTCTGAGCCATCTCTCCAGCCCCTAACTTAAACTTTTTTCAAAAGGTAAACAAACAGAAGAGCCAGGCTATGGTAGCACAGAACAAAGGCAGGCAGATCTAGTTCGAGACCAGCCTGGTCTATAGAACAAGTTCCAGAACAGCCAGGGCTACACAGAGAAACCCTGTCTTGGCAAACCCAAAATAAATAATTTTTAAAAGGGTAAAAAGACGACTAGGGATATCAATCAGTGGTAGTTTGAATAGCACACAAAATACCAGTACCAATTTTTTTTAAGGATTTATTTATTTATTTTGTATAAAGAAGAGGACACCAGATCTCATTACAGATGGTTGTGAGCCACCAAGTGGTTGCTGGGAATTGAACTCAGGACCTCTGGAAGAGCAGCCACTGCTGTTAACCGATGAACCATCTCTCTAGCCCTCTATTTTTTTTTTTTAAGGCCAGTGACAAGTCCATTTTTATCTATTGTATCCTATCACTTTGAAGTACCCAGTGCTGCAGATGAGAGAGCACCCCTGGGTGCTGAGAGAAGGAACTGCCACCCTTTTACTGAAGAAGGATCCAGCAAGACAAAGCACCCCTCCTGTCCCACATCAGAGTTGGGACAGTTCTTTCCAGCTTTTCATAGCCGAGTCCCCCACTTTGAAGGCAGGCGTTTTCCAAGCATACCAGCATCCTATACAGGGCGGGGCTCTGAAACACTGAGCGGCCTGCCCAAGTTCCCTCAGCTTAGCAGGTCACACAGCCAAGATTAAACCTGCATCTGACCCTAACACTCAAGCTGATCCCTGTTGTTGGTTGTTTTTTCTCTTTTTTGGGAGGCCTGCCAACAAGTTTCCAAACAAATCACACATAGAGGAGGTGTGTTTGTTATTTATTTATTTATTTTTCTTTATTTATTTAGTATACAGCATATATGACTGCTGGCCAGAAGAGGGCGCCAGATCTCATTACAGATGGTTGTGAGCCATGTGGTTGCTGGAAATTGAACTCAGAACCTAAGGAAGAACAGCCAGTGCTCTTGACCACTGAGCCATCTCTCCAGCCCGAGTTCTTAATTATTAACACCCAGCTTTAGCTTAGCTTGTTTCTTGACAGCTTTTCTTAACTTTAAATTATCCCATCTACTTTTGCCTTTGGGCTTTTCCTGTTCTCTTATGTCTGTAAATCTTTATTTATTTATTTATTTATTTATTATTTTATGTATGTTGGTGTTTTGCCATGGATATTGGGTCCTCTGGAACTGGAATTACAGACAGTTGTGAGCTGCCATGTGGGTACTGGGAATTGAACTCGGGTCCTCTGGAAGAGCAGTCAGTGCTCTTAACCACTGAGCCATCTCTTCAGCCCCCTCTTTGACTTCTTGATCCTCCTGCCTATACCTCTAAAGTGCTGGGATTTCAGGCATCGGCCACCATACCAGTCTTTGTGTTTTGTTAAGTTTATGGAGCCCAGTTACAAATCCTAATTCTATTTACCATTCCTCAATGTAGTAGGATGAGAGACGATGACTGATGGGCTATTTTCTTCTGCGATGGTGCAGTGGTTTGACTGAGAATATTCCTTAAAGGCTCAGATGTTTAAATAATCAGTCCCCAGTTGGTGGTGCTGTTAGGATAGCTTTAGGAGATATGACCTTGCTGGAAGAAACATGTCACTGGGGATAACCTTTGAGGTTTAAAAGCCACACACCATTGCCAGTTCACGCTCTGCTTCCTGTTTTTGGTTTAAAATGTGAGCTCTAAGCTTGCTACTTCAGCCATGATGCCTGCCACTTCCCCACCATGATGGATTCTTATCCCTCTGGAACTGTGAGCCTGAAAACCTCTCTTCCTTGCCTTGGTCATGGGATTTTATCACAGCAATAGAAGGGTAACTAATAAAGATGAGGTGATATGTTGTTCGAATCTTAGATGGTCTTATAATTAAAAACCCAGAGCCAGATATCATGGTGGAAGCTGAAAGATCAGAGAAGTAGAACAGCCTGCCACTAGTTCTTACCTCTATGAAATCCTCAGCCTAAAGGGCAAGTTCCTGTTTCTTCATGTTTTATATACCTTTCTCTGCTCTGCCATATTACTTCCTGGGATTAAAGGCATGTGTGCTTCCCAAGCAAAGGCATGAGATCTCAAGTGCTGGGATTAAACGTGTGTGCCACCACTGCCTGGCTCTGTGTCTAATCTAGTGGCTGACTCTGTCCTCTGATCCTCAGGTAAGTTTATTAGGGCGCACAATATATCACCACAGTGGTGTATATGAGTTGGAGGAATAAAACTCTTTCACATGAATTTGAAATACTCAATAGTTCCTGCAGAAAATTCAAGGTTCTGTGAAATCATTGCTTGAGTTTCTTTAGCCATTTTTCACTGAACATATT